CATAGCACTGCTGCTACCCTGACTACGTTAATGCCATCAATTAAATCTGAGGAAGCTCTGCTGACAGCACTGAGTAGGAGAGTGACAAAATGACAAGATATACGAGCCCCTTAAATTGCAGGTGTGGCAATAGTGTGGAAAAATGAGCAGAATATGAGTTTACCTGTCCTGAATTTTCCTGACCTCATCGCACACTGAATCCCCCAATGCTCAGTAGCGTTGAGGGCCTCTAGTGTTTGAAAAAAAAAAAACAAAAGGGAAACATGGGAGGCAGCTTTCATGCTCATTGAATTTTCCAGTATTGCAGGAATCTTGTCAGGGTACTCCTTTTCTGATTTTTTTTTCAAGCTCCTTCAGCTCAAAACCAGTCTCTCTTCTTGTCCTTGCCCTTTTTATTAGAGGCTTTTTCAGAACTTTACTTCCTTGAAGGGATTTTTTTTTCTAATGTCCACTCAAATTTACTTTTGGACAGTTTACACCCATTTAGTATTAGACTAGCTTTATACTTTAATAGCTCTTCTCTCTTTCTGAATTTATCCTTTCTGTTTGTGGATGGTACTTCACAGTTTTTATGAGTGGAAGAGTTGAGATTATGAGTTAAGATTATGAGTTAAGATTTTATTGCAAATATGTCCATTGGCAAGTGTCCCTATTTCTCATCAGAAGATGTTTCTGTGCTTTCTGACTAGCTTTATAAGAATTAAGACTTTAAAAAGAAGAAGAAAAAATATAAACTTTCAAAAACTGATGAAATCATCAGGGAAGGCTTGCTGTAAAGAATCTTCACATGCCAATATAACATCGATCTTGTGTTCAACCCTAGTTTTGTATGAATAATTACGAGGATTACTACAAGAAGTATACTTCGTGCCAGAAAAAAAAAAAGAGAGAACAATTATTTATAGCAATGCTATTGTATCTCATAACTGAAACATATAAACAACATAGTTCACTATGAATTTCTGTTACAAAGGAAGGATCATGAAAACATATATTTACAGTCTCAAATGATATTTTTTGAGGTATTTAACCTGAGAATTTTTTGGAAGCTTGCTCCCAGTGTACAGTTCAGGAAAAATGGTACTGTGAGTGTTAATGGTGTTATTGCTAATTGTGCAAAAATGTATGAGAGGAATATAGTTATTTATTCTGGTCAGGAGCATCACATATTGTAAAAGTTACTAAAGTTACCGCACCTTCTTATCCCTCTACTCTTAGGTTTAATAATGTAGAAGATAGAGATGCAATTGATTTTTTTAAAAATCTTCCTTTTTTTTTCTTTTTTTTTCTTTTTTTTTAATCAAGTAGATATCTTTTGGATGGTGACTATACTCTACTATTTGATCCCAGATTGCAAAGTACATGAACTTCTTCCATTCAGGCCACATAGGTTGAGATTACAGAGCATTGGCTTCAGAAATCTACCAAAGAGAGTTTAACCAACCAAAACAGGTATAGAGAAAACAGACATAAATTTAAATATGTTAGAAGACCATCAGAAAAACCAACTTTTCAGATAATTCAGCTTATTGTCTTAGGAAAGAGGAAAAAAATATTCATATTTTCTTCTATTAATGTTTATAGTAGAAAAAAAAAGACTGGAAATAATTTAAAAAGTAAATGGATTGTACCCTGAAGATGTGGTATGTGTGGTGAATTCCAATATTTTACAGATTTACTTTGTCCTAACAAAGTTCTCAGCACAGCAACATGACTATGGTGTTTCCCAAATTCTGAGATCCAAATTATAAGACATTACAATTAATGATATTTGGTAAGTAATCTTGTCTTTAAAATGAAGGGTTTTGGTTTGATTCAAAGGCCTTACTGTTACCTTAAAATACAAAAAAAAATCTGAAAAAGAAAATCTTCATACATACTTTTTGAATCCAAGGAACAAATCATACAAACAGAGAAAGCAGTGAAACATTGCTGAAATGTGTTTGTGTGTGTATGTGTGTGTGTGTATGTATGTGTATATATATGCATGTAAGACCCTGAGGGAAGAAAGATCTGTTGAATTCCTGTAATGAATTCTATTGTAGGACCAGACCTAACATAATCACGTACACCTCTCTTGGTTTAGCTTTAGATCTAACCCAATTCAAGAGACTAAACTCAGTTTTAATACCCCAATTTGCTGACTATTCTGTAATTGCACTGAAATAAATAAAAACTACTTGGGGATGCCAATAATAAGTAAGGCAATGGGCATCCTTTCGTTTGTGTGTTTGTGAACATTCCCTAAAGTGTGTTGGGTGATTAGGCTACATCTAAGTTGCTGGATCCAGGAACTCCCTCAGAGCTGGAGCTTGGTGCAGCACTGTGGCCGTATAGTCAGAATCTGGTGCTCTCAAGTAACTTTAAATGTAAGTAAAGGTAGTTGAATTGGTTGGTCTCTCTGTTTTGTTTTATTCTTTTCTCACATTTCTATGTAAGTGTCTTATTTAAGATTTTTTTTTATCTTCTTTCAAAGTACTATTGGCCTTCTATCATTCTTGATTTGTCTGGTTAGTCTAGGTAATAATATATTTAACTTTATATTGTCTTTTTTTTTAATGGTGCATTAAACTCTTGTTTTTATCCTGATTACTTTCACTTCTTTATCTGTTTTAAAACTAGGACACCCATGTAGTAAGAATGTATAACCTTCTGTCCTAAGTCCATGTTTCTCCTGTATCCACAAAGCAGAGAATCTTAAGGTTTGCCTTTTTTTTTTTTTTTCAAAGTTGCCAGAGAACAATGCATTTAAAAATGCTTTTAGTGCTGAAATAGCTAGCACACATTTCACATTGGGAACTCTGCTTCCTACTGAAGTACATTAACTAAGAAAGATTTCAGCAGCTGCTTCTTTATAGTTGTTGCATAGTTGTAATATTTTGTGTTTTGCTAAGCGCTGGCTTGAAAAATATAAAGCACATAAAAGAACCCAGGCACAAAGGGCCTGGTGTACTGATTGGAAGTATCCCAGGCATGAAATCAGCCCCAGGATAATTCTGTACATACTAAAGCTGCAGGGATTTCTGAATGATTTTCTTGGCCTTTATTGGGGCTTTCTTGCAAAAAAATGACAGATTATATAGACCTAATTGCAAAATATTCCGTCCCATTTTTGATTTTCTAACTTACTTGATCCTCAATACCATTTAAAGCCAAAGCTCTGCTTGGGCCAGAGAGGAGGGATGCTGATCCAGAAAAAATCCTAAAAGGAAAGAATCTGTCTATTAGAAAACAGATGTAAATAAAATTGTATAGCTTATACATACAAATACCAACATATGAGGTAAAGGCATTGGCTTACACCTAAAAAGGCAGGCTTTTTTTTAGTTCCTGAAGATTAAAGAACACAGGTTAAATATTATGTATAATAAAGTGAGTATTTAAAAAGTAAAGAATTTTTCTTTACTTTTGATAATTATATAACCATTACTGGATCAAAAAAAAAGTATTTGATATTACACTTTTTCTTCCTTTTCCCCAAGCAGTAGGATGTCTTATATGTGCATAGATAAAGGGAAGTAAATATATGTGAAAGGAAAATAAGCAATGACTATTTTTCTAATTTGTTTTTGAAGATGATGTTCTTGTAATTATTAACATTTTTGTGAATATCAGATGGCATTCTTTTGTTTTATCTTGCCTGTATAGTGGAAGGTATTTATCTTATAATGAGGTGGATTGAGGACTGGCTGGATGGCAGAGCCCAGAGGGTGGTGATAAATGGGGCCAAGTCTGATTGGAGGCCTGTGGCCAGTGGTGTGAGACCTAGACAGGATGGAGAGTTGGCCAGAGAGGAACCTCATGAGGTTCAACAAGGACAAGTGCAGGGTCCTGCACCTGGGGAGGAATAACCCCAGGCACCAGGACACATTAGGGGTTGACCTGCTGGAAAGAAGCTCCGCAGACAGCGATTTGGGGGTCCTGGTTGACAACAGGTTAACCATGAGGCAGCAGTGTGCCCTCGTGGCCAATGGGATCCTGGCCTGCATCAGGAGGAGCGTTGCCAGCAGGTTGAGGGAGGGGATCCTGCCCCTCTCCTCAGCTCTGGTGAGGCCGCACCTGGAGTATTGGGGGTATTTCTGGGCTCCCCAGTACAAGAGGAACATGGAGCTTCTAGAGAGGGTCCAGCGGAGAGCCGCGAAGATGATTAAGGGACTGGAGCATTTGTCATATGAGGAAAGACTAAGCAAGCTGGACCTGTTTAGTCTGGAAAAGAGAAGGCTGAGAGGGGATCTGATCTATATATATAAATACCTGAGAGGAGAATGTAGGGAGGATGGGGCCAGGTTCTTCTCCGTGGTGGCCGGTGGTAGGACAAGGGGTGAGGGGTGTAAGTTGAAACACAGGAAGTTCCACCTCAGTATGAGGAAGAATTTCTTTCGTGTGAGGGTGGCAGAGCCTGGAACAGGCTGCCCAGAGAGGTTGTGGAGTCATCTTCTCTGGAGATCTTAAAATCCGCCTGGATGCTACCCTGTGCCACGTGCTCTGGGTGTCCCTGTTGGAGCAGGGGGGTTGGACTAGATGACCTCTAGAGGTCCCTTCCAATCTCAACCATTCTGTGAAAAGTCTATAGCGCATCTGTGTGTTTTTACTTAGACTCTTAGACTTAAAAAAAAAATGTTAACAAGAAGTTAGCTTGGACTCTTTTCAGGAGGAATTCTAAACTAGCTTCTAATAGAATGGAAGATCCAGCCTTTAGTAAATAAATGTATTAAAGTCTTGTTGCATTTCTTTTTTTTTTTAGATCTATATCAGTGCTGTGTTTGTGAGTGATTGTGTCTGTGTATACATATACACACAAAGACGGCAACTTAGTATATGCTTCTTAGTCAAATTCTTTTTTTTATTTATTTGTTTATATATATACATATATAAATGAAAAATAAATGGAGTTTTTGCAAAGATAGAGATAGTCTTTTAAGTGCTGCTGTTCTCTTGGAGTCAGAAAAAGAGATAAATATCAGATGTTTAATTATGACATCATTATATTATTATTTCAGATAAACTTGCAGAGGAAGATGAGAGTCACTGGCGTTATAACTCAAGGTGCCAAGAGGATAGGAAGTCCAGAATACATAAAATCTTACAAAATTGCATATAGTAATAATGGGAAATCGTGGACAATGTACAAAGTAAAAGGCACAAATGAAGATATGGTAAGATTATGTTATCTGGATAGGCATAAGTCTCATGGTTTAGCAGTCTTGAGAAGTATGATATATCTCTAGCAGATAAGTATAACTGCCTGACGGAGGAACAGAGAAAGTAGTCTCTTTCCTTGCTATTATTTTTCTCTGAAAAAATCTACAGCAAAAAAATACACTTTCTGTGTACTAGGAATTTCTTATACTTTAATTGATGGTTGTAAAAATATTGTGTCCCAAGGCTAGAATAATCTTGTTTATTGCTCTTAACTGGTTTTCATTTTAATTAATTTACCAGTAATTACTCATTACTCTGTTTTCAATTTAGTTTTATTACATTGGCAGATTAATGTTAACCCTTAAAAGCATGGAACCCATTCATCAATGCTAATTTCTGCATTGCATAAACAGTATCATGTTTATCATGTAGGTATACAATTTATAGTTACTACTTATTTTTATACAGAGTTCTGAATGCAAAGCTTCAAGAATTGCTTTACTGTGAAAGTTAAAATAGACAAGATGCTTATCAGCATTCAACATAGTTCCTCTTATGCAGGCAGGAAGTTGAAATGCTTTGTGAAAAGGTGTATAATGAGGGAAGAGACCAAAATATAAGCATCTAGTTAGAGTGAGGAGAGAATAGAAGAATGTTTTTAGATTTAATTCAACTCCCACTGAGATCACTGGAAAGGTTCCGGTAGAATTCAGTGGTAACTGGAGCAGTTTATTGAAGTAGAGGGAAAAAATAAATGTCAATCGATGTAAATAATTGCAGGATAGATTGAACAGGAACTATTTAAAACATTAATTTGAGGGGGAAAAAAAAGATGTAATTTTGTGCATTAGAAGCTCCCGCTTCTAGGAGTGATGAGTCAAAGGCAATTTCACCAGGGGCAACACACATGAATGTATAAGCCAAAGGCAGTCACACCTTTTTTAAAATCTTGGGTGTTGGGCACAAGAAGTGGAAAAAAAAACAGCCTCTGTGAAAAAAATCACAGGGAACCAAGGAGGGAAGGTTAGAAGAGCAAAGGGAATATATTTGAAGCATCAAAATGAAATGAGCATCTCCTAATTCTCTTAGTATATTTTTATGCATATGTCATTTTAACACAGGTATTCCGTGGAAATATAGACAACAACACTCCTTATGCCAACTCCTTCACACCACCAATAAAGTCGCAGTACATACGGCTGTATCCTCAGGTTTGTAGAAGGCACTGTACTTTGAGAATGGAACTTCTTGGCTGTGAATTATCAGGTGGGTTTTGTAGCGATTGCCATATCTCAGAAATCAACAAACAAGCAACACATTTTTGTGCCAGTGGTTTAGAACATCCAATTTATTCATGACAAAATGCAGTTGGCATCTCTGAGTTTATCCAGATGTGCAGAAAATCTCGCTCTCAAGAACTGAATGTCCAAAAAGGAGACAGAGGAGTCCTAAAACTTTATTCGAATAAAGGGAGAGTCCACCGGGCATATCCCTGTGGGGTCTCTCTCAGATTGCTGGGGGACGCAGCCCCCCTTTTCTCCTAATTTCCCGACCGAGGGACGACCTCTCCTTTTCCCCATTGGCCAAGGTACTCAGAAGTTACAGCCTTCCCAGCCCACCTACACCGAACTCCGGCCTCCCGCCATCTGTTCTCACCTGAGCTCACCAACTCCTTTGTCCCCCTTGCTGAAGAATGTGGGGGAATTGCCCTATTTCCCTCCTTTGTAAAGGCCCCCATCTCCTTGCAGATGGCTCTTTTTGTCCCACTCGCTCATGGCTCCACTCAGTCTCCCCTCCCTTTGTCCTGCTCTTCAGCCAAACTGTGGAGAAATCCCTTTATTGATGAATACATAAACTTGAGCATTCCGCTCACAGATACTTATTGTTTCTTTTTATGTAAATGATATAAGCAACAATAATTCCTTATGGTATGGTGGTGGGTGGTGGTAGTAGTAGTAGTATTAGTAGGGTAACATAGTACCAACCTTAGCAAATCTTTTGTGTGCATTGGCCTCCAACTATGTGTGACCTACAAAAAGTCACTTATGATCAGCTTGAATAAGTGTCATCAGATATCAGGAGCTTTTCTGGTATATGCTGAAGAGGCACTGAGACAGTTTCTAACTCACAGTTACATTCAGTACATCCAAAACAAAGTATAGGAAGAGAAATGGTTGCTGAGAACTGGAGCTGTTTGCCCAGAGTCTGCTGTGCAGTTCTGAACAGAAGCAGGGACCACAGTCATAGAATCCTTAAGGTTCGAAGGGACCTTTATAGATCATCTAGTCCAAGACCCCTGCACACGCAAGGTTACCTAGAGCATGTCAATCTGAGTCATTTCTCATGACTGCTGGATGATCACACTGATGATGAATGATGTGCTGCACAGCATCTTTGGAGGTACAAGAATGTTTCCTCTGGACTGGAATAAGATATATTTTACTGAGCTGCTTTAGAAAAGATTTGATTTTATATTTGCTTTGTGTCTTTCCAGTGGAAGCAGTGCTTGTGTCTTGTAGAAAAAATGAAAAAAGTAGAGCCAATATAAACTCTCTTAAGGTTTAGAGCAGCAGATATTATAGTTCATAAATGCAAAGCCTGACCGGTTAGCCACTCTCTGCAAGAACCATGTCCCTTTACAAATTCAGTAATGCATGTTAATTTTTAAAAATCTTTTGCAAGGGATCAACCTTTACCAGTGGGAGTGCTCCACAAATTCATTTAGGAAATATTTTTTCTGTGGCTACGTGCTTACTGTACAAACAATAGTCATCCAGTTTATGAATTATATATCAAAACAGTGGAAGTTAAATAACTTTTAGTCCCCTATTAGTATCAAAATCAGATTCAGAAATGAAAAGTTAATGCATTAATTTCAGTGTAGCCCTTTTACAATATAGATAGATTTGAGAATAATAGAAAATTCTGTCTAGCTGCTTTAGTCTATCAGATTTTTTTTTAATGTCTTCTACTTCTGGAACCACAATTTAAAGTCCTTGCCAGAATGACCAAGAATTGTTTTGCTCAAAGAACTATGAAAACTACTGAACTATTTCAGTGTTCTCCTAACAATTTCAAGGTCATCATTCCAAGGTCATCAATGACATCATTAACCCCAGACACCAGTACAGGCTGGGGACCGACCTTCTGGAGAGCAGCTCTGCGGAGAAAGACCTGGGTGTCATGGTGGACGACAAGTTGACCATGAGGCAGCAGTGTGCCCTCATGGCCAAGAAGGCCAAAGGGATCCTGGGGTCGTTAAGAAGAGTGTCTCCAACAGGTCGAGGGAGGTGATCCTGCCCGTCTACTCAGCCCTGGTGGGGCCGCATCTGGAGTATTGTGTCCAGTTCTGGGCCCCACAGTATAAGAGGGATGTGGAGCTGGGAGGCAGTGAGGAGGATGGGGCTGGCCTCTTTTCACTGGTGGCCACCGACAGAACTAGAGGTAATGGCCAGAAACTGAAGCACCAAAAGTTCCACAGGAACTTAAGGAAAAATTTCTTAACAGTGAGGGTGACAGAGCCCTGGAACAAGTTGCCAAGAGAGGTTGTGGAGTCTCCTTCTCTGAAGATCTTCAAAACCCGCTTGGCTGCAGTCCTGTGCCACGTGCTCTAGGTGACTCTGCGTGTGCAGGGGGGTTGGACTAGATGACCTCTAGAGGTCCCTTCCAACCTTAAGCATTCTATGATTCTATGATTCTATGATCATTTCTTAGAACTGCAGGCAGCCAAGGCTCAGCAAAACAATTTCAGTGTCTACTGGAAAATGAGTATAATTATACATAAAGACAGTCTAATGCAGTCTTATTCCAGATGATCTGTTTTAGTCTGAAAAGGATGTTGACAGATCTGGTTTCTCTAACAAATAATGGAGCTAGAGAAAAGTAACACTACTGAAGGGAAGGAGACTATGTTGCGGGATGCTCATCCTAATAATGAAACCATTCTTAGGATTCAGCAGTTCAACAGTATGTTCAGCATATTGTCAGCTATAGATTCATTAATAGTTTAACTGACCAGGACACATAGTCAGACTTTTTGAAAAGCATTTTCAATGCTTATGTAAACAACCATCTGTATAATACATATTTACTAAATCTCATGGCCTTGTATTCCTGTCTTGTGTTTGGACAACTCTGTTTTGTAAATTCTTTTCCTTTTTAGTAGTCTTGTACAAATTTGGCAGATTTTTGGTGTTCTGAGTTTTTCAGTTCTTGCAGAGGTATGGTAATCCCCAGAGCTTTTTATTCCTCAGGATATGTTCACATGTGCCTTCTCAGCACTTACTTTTATTCTCTTTGACCTCTTGTTTTCTTGAAAATGTTCTTCCCTCCATGCTTATAGATAGCTACAGAATCTATTCACACAATCTCATACGCAGGAAGTCTTCTGAACTTCTGCATTTATAGTGACTATGAAATTAAAGAGTTAGGGGGGGCATTAGCAAAACCACTACCTTGGGCTTCTGGAGGGCAGACTTTGGACTGTTTAGGACATTGACTGGGAGAGTAAACCACATAGCAGATTTCTCCCCGGGTTGTTGTTTATATTTCGCTAGCAGATTCTTAATATCTTCGAGAGTAAAATCGGTTAGTTCATCCTGTCGCACCACTTGTCCTGGCCCTGTCAGCACAGCTTTCCTTCGTATTACCGGGGCAGCTCGCCTTTTTGGTTTGTCCTGCGATGGGCCCTTCTCCTCTGGTGTGGAGACTTCCTCGTCTGATTCCCAAATATCCCCATCCCAAGTTTCCGGGTCCCCGTCAGGGTGGATGACAATAGTCCACACCCAGCTCCCCTTCTGCCCCAGTTTTCTCCCTCGCCTGTTCTTTACCACTCGTAACGTGTACTGTGCCGCCAATTTAGCACATTTCTCCTCCAGGAGCTCCCTCTGATCATTGACCTCCAGCAGAGCCTTCCTCTGCACCATCTGGGTGGCCCAGACTGCCTGTAATTGCTCTTGGAGGAGCTGATTCCTCTCCTGTTCCTCCTTTAACTGCCCCGCTAGAATCTTATATGCACAGAGCAGAGCACCTCCCATCCGTCCGGCATGTTCCAGTCGGACCGAGTTCTTAGTACGGTCAGTCTCCCCAAACGCACAAACACAATTTCTATCCAGTGGCACGACCTCACCTAGCTATGCACTCCACTAGTGAGTTCCACTGTTTAATTGCCGAATCCCATCTTCGTCACCAATTATGTTCCGGATGGGCTCGGGATTCGGCAATAATCATGCCAGAACGAGGTGACTACATCGAGCATTTATTCAGGCACATAAAAGCAGCAAAGTATGGATAACTACTCACGAGGTGATACCTGCCGCTCTGGACCCGAACATCCTCTCAAGATGACAGATCAGAGAGAGGGAGTTGCTGGCTGGCTCCCGTGGAGTCAGCGCAGGCCTCAGAGTGAGGAGTTTCTTCTCCCCCCGCTCTCTCCGCACTGTCCTCTCTATGCCTGGTGCATCCTGGCATGTAGGGTCAGCACGACCCAGGAGGCAGGCCAGGGGGGCGGACAAACTCCGCCTCTAGTTGTGCAACTCTCCCCCCCGGGGTGCGCAGGTGCGCATACCAGTCGGGGGTCCCAGCCCTCAATTCCAGGGTCCTGTCTTCCTCCTCTTCTTCCTCATTTCCGGGTGTTTGGGCTCCAAAGCTAGTTTGGAGGACATCTGCGGTTAAGTTGGCTCCAAGCCCAGCCAAGCGGCCGGCTTCAACAGGGTTCCAGGGGGGGGCTGCCTGTGAACGGGGCTGAGCAGCTGCATCCATGCTCCTTATCGCTCAGCCTAGGCAGGCAAACATCCTTTTTCTCAAGGTCTGGCCTCTGCTTCCCACGGGAGATTGTTTTGACTCTACAGATCACAGAAAATTTGCATCTCCAATACAGAGAGGAAGTTCCATCTTCATGTGAGGAAGAAATTCTTTCCTATGAGGGTGACAGAGCCCTGGAAGAAGCTGCCCAGATAGGTTGTGGAGTCTCCTTCTCTGGAGATCTTCCAAACCCGTCTGGATGCCGCCCTGTTCCACGTGCTCTAGGTGTCCCTGCTTGAGCAGGGAGGTTGGACTGGATGATCTCTAGAGGTCCCTTCCAAACTCAACCATCCTGCGAGTCTGTGAGTTCCTTGGGAGGCAGTCCTGAAGAGCAACGGAGTCCAAGAAGGCTGGACATTACTCAAGTTGGAAATCTTAAAGGCACAGGGGCAGGCCGTCCCCATGTGCCAAAAGACAAGCCATCGGGGAAGAAGACTGGTGTGGCTGAATAGGGAACTATCGCT